CAAATCGGAGACAAGAAAGGGACAGTAAACAGTAAAAATCAGGGGAAGGGGGTGACAAGATGAAAAAACAACAAACATTTGGGGTGGAATAACTCAAAATCGGTATAGCTTGTGATGGACAAATCGGAGACAGGAAAGGGACAGTAACCAGTAAAAATCAGGAGAAGGGGGGAGACAAGATGAAAAAAACACAAAAATTTTGGGTGGAATGGGGAAAAGAAAAAGGAGCCAATGCCAATAGTGTGTAATCCAATGCTCCCAAATTTTGTGCAATTTAGATACCCCTTTTTTAACCTTGCTATTTCTGTCCAGTTATTAACATTTTTTCACATTTAATATCAACAGTATGAATTAGTATAAAGCAGTGGTCTCCAAACTGTGACCTGTGGAATGGATGTAGCCCTTTGCTTGCCTTCATCTGGCCCTTGGGGCGCTATTCCTCCAGTGGCATCAATGATTCAGCATCAGTCCTTCCACTGACACCATGATGGAGGATAATTCCTCCCAATGACACCAATGCTGGGGCACTATTCCCCCCTCTGATACCAACGATGTGGCATTATTTCTCCCACTGTTAACAATGATGGGGCACTAATCCTGCTTCTACTAACTAGAGGCAGTATGTAATTTTTTTTTTCCATATCCACTAGCCACAGTCTGGCTCCCCTAAAGTGTAATAAACGTTAAACTGATCCTTTGTTTAGAAAGTTTGGAGACCCCTGGTATACGGTTTTAGGGTGTGTTTTTGTGTTGGAAGGTCATTACTGAATAATGCCTCCTGTGAAGTGTTACCGTTTTTTTTGTTAAAAATCTTCTGCAAATTTCTGCTCTTCAGCCAAATGTGTGATATGGACCCTTCTGTGTACTGGGAATGCTGACAATTCCATTGCTTTTATGTGCTTGTAAAACTAAAGGTTGTATTAGTGCTTGTAGTCAGGTGCGGACTGACAAGTCATGGGGCCCCCGGGCAATAGGGGATCATGGGGCCCCTGTGTCTTTGCCCAAACTCAAAAAAGCCTATGAAAAAGGTACCAGGGGCATCTAATGGGGCCCACTACTGACCCCGGGCCCTCGGGCAGTGCCCAAGTTTCCAAATGGTCAGTCCGCCCCTGCTTGTAGTGCATTATTACATTTGAATAGCTTGTCTATAATCCAAAAATTTACCTGCATTTGGTGCTTGCTGCTGTTCTGTAGAGTGGGTAGATGGTGGAGTCTGTGTTCCCATGTTCCCGAACTGGTAATAGATGATTATCTTGGGGATAGGAGTTACTGTCAAAAACTTCCTTTTGCATTTGATCTGCAGCTCAAATGCATGTGTTTGAACACAACAGAAAAGGTCGTTGTTTGACCTGCTTTGCCAGCAATGCAAAGATTTCCCAATAGAACTTGCTTTGTCCAACAAAATAAATGCCAAACAACGCAAGTCAAATGCAGCCTCAGAACTGTCCTCTACATTACACTGCTGAAATAAATACGGATCTGAAGACTTACATTCAACATGTGCTTCAAATACAGGGCAGCAGCACCAATCTGAGTGAGCCCTTAATTGCCAATTATGAGTCAAGCACTTCCCAGACTTCTACATATCACAGAACCCTTTTAGATGTCCCTTGTAAAGACATGGTTTTGTATGCAGTATATGTAAAATGTGTACAGCCCACAAGCGCAAATTAATAACATTACTGTAGGGCTTAGTTGTAAATCTAACATATAATAATACTGCAGTCTGTCTGCCGGGAATTCCCAAACAGACTAGACTAACTTATTAACAGAGAATTGTTCTAAATATTGGAAATCTGCCTACAATATAGCAAAGCCTCCAGCTAGCGTTTGGAAGTCTCCAACAAGTTGTGAGTAGCAGGATTTAGTAAAAAAATCAGTAATGAACCCTAACTATTCTTAGCAGACGTGGCTTCTCTAATGACAGCTTAACTTGCCATTAGAGGAGGTGGAATGTTTAGTAATACTTACTGCTCTATAGCAAGGCTTGTTAGATGCTCCAAACACAGTCAGCAGGGAAATATGCCATACGCCTACATAATGGCAATTTAGCAGTCTGTTAAGACCACTTTAACTTTTGTGGTTGTTTTTCAATTCTAAATGTCTTGGAAATTGATACTGACAATCTTTGCTCAGTAGATGAATTAGTCATTCTTATACTCTGATGCCTGGGTTTGATTTACGTTCTTAATCTGGTGCTTGTATCTGGTGGTTGGCCTTGTGATTCTTGGGTCTCATCAAGTAGATCTGGATTCCTTCCACAATACAAAAATATACTAGCAATTAAACTGACTCGCGCCTATGCTGGCAGTGCTGTATATGCAGAGCCTGTGCAAGGCGAAGATGCATTTTACCGCCCCTGTCCTAAGCAACATTAAGCCTCCTGGATTTGTCCCTGACTGCCACAAACTGTCCCCACTTCTAATAAAAGTCTGTGGTCATGTGTTGATCCCAACAGAGGGATGTGTGGAGTGGAGTCCTGGTGGGAGAGCCATCTGATCCTGCAGGGAGCCCCCACACAGCTGGCACTTAGACCAGAGTTGGGACAAAGGTTATCCAGCACCCAGGGCAAAGATGCCAAACAATCAGGAGACCTCCTTTACCATCAGAGCCTCCCTTGACCATCAAAGCCCCCCTGTAACATCAGAGAATCCACTTACAGAAGGAGTGCTGCAGCAGTGGAAGGAGAAGAGGAAAGCAGAGAACAGGTGTGGCAGGACCGAGATGGCGGGGAGGGGTGAAAGAGGAGACCAAAGCAGAACAGAACAGAAGATCTGGAATGGAGAGAAGGGGAGAGATTGTCGGGGAAGAAAGTGCAGCTGCTACCGGAGCACAGAGATCACTAACCTGTCAGAACCAGCATGATAGGAAGTAGAGGTTGGCACGGCAGTGCCCTAAACACAGTGCCTGCCCACACATGTTCCCACTAGTGAGAGATTCGAACGGCACTGGAAACCAAGGCTGAGGGAGGAGAGGAGGCAGAATTGTGGGGGAGAAGATCAAAACACTGCCAGTGAGCCCAGAGTGTAGTGGGGGAATGGGGGAGGTGCTTGGTACATGGAGCACTGGGGTCTGTCTACCCAGGTGCATTTTACCCCCCCTCCTAGTGTGGCGCCCTAAGGCAGCTGCCTTTGCTGCCTTATGGTGGCACCAGCTCTGTGTGTGTGCAGTTGTCTGACTATTGTGAATGGTACTGCGTTCTGTGTACAGCTCTGGAAATATATTCACACAATATGCTATATTATTTAAAGCAGACTTTCACAACCTTTTAACACAGAGGAAAACCTAAACGAACATTCAGGTCTTAGGGAAAACCTGCTATTAATTACTATATCTACAGCTCACAGTACATTGGCACGGGCAGTAAGGTAATATATAAAAAAAATAAAAGAATAAGAATGTGGCCAACTTAGCATATTTGGCACCAAGGGCTGTTTTGAATAGCAGTAGTAATCATAATAATAATAAGGGTCAGAAAACAATTGCACACAGTGAAAAATGTAGTGTTCCCTCACATTGGTAATCAGTGGGAAAAGGGCCCCTTTCCAATAGTAGTCTGAAGAAAGTATAGTAGTCAGTGGGAAGAACATCACACTTACAAATAGTGAAAAAGATTACTGGTGTCAGTGGCTACTTAGAGAGGCAGAAACTGGTATTTGCTCAAGGAACTCCTAATAACTTCTGGAGGAACCCTAGTGTTCCATGGAGCCATCGCTAAAAAAGGTTGCTGTAAAGTGTCTTTTTTTTTTTTTTTTTAAATAACAGGTTTATACTTACCTGCTCTGTGCAATAGAATTGCACAGAGTGGACCCGATCCTCTTCTGGTCAGCTACTGGTTCACCTGGCTTCTTCTCTTCTGAGTGTGCCCCCATAGCAAGTGACTTGCTACGGGGGCACTCCTGCAGGCTCTATCCTCAGCTGTGGCCACAGACAGTGCAGCTTGGTCCCATCACCTGCTCCTTAGCCACAGAATCTGACGGTCTGGAGTGGCTCTCTCCGCAGTCACTGGCTTTGCTGTCAGACACAGCAGTGGATCGAGTGAGGAGGTAAGTATGGGGGCAATACTACTACCTAAACATTTACCTTACCGCAGGCAACACATTAAGGGCCAGTTCACACCATAGAAATGCAGTCGCTGATGTGTTCTGGATGCGTTCTGTATGCACGTTTTTGACACGTTCCGGTGTGTTTTTGATACATTTTACAGTGTTCTGGTTAATTTTTTCTCTTTTTTTTCTTCAACTTAATAAGGATGTGTGCATTCCGGTGCATTTAGGTGTGTTCCTGTGTGTTTTTGATGCATTTTACTGCGTTTCAGTGCAGTGCAGAAAAAATGCAGCATGTTCTCTTTTTTCTGGAACTGGGATGCACTAGAACTGACCGCACTGGTGTGAACTATGCCATTGGAAACCATATAACCTACTATCAATGTGTTTTTGATGCAGCAAAAATAACGCACTGGACTGCATGTGGTGTGAACTGGCCCCAAGGTAAAAGTGTTTTGACTTCAGAACCACTTTAATGCAAACGTGAACTATTAACATATTTTACACAAAATAGTCCCTCTAGTGGAGAATATATGTAAGAGTTTTAATCACAATAAAAAAAAAAAAAAAAAAGCGGAATTAAAAATGTTTTTTTCCTTTTTCCGGTTTAAATGTCAGTTATACATGTTTGTAATATCTGTTTATTTTTATCTGTATATTTTACCAATCAGAGGCAAGTTTTATATCTCTGAAAATGGATAAAGCTCTATGCATTTTCAGAAGTATCGAATAAGAAAAAAATACATTCTAGATACAAAAACAATTCATTGGTAGCATAAATAACCTCCCATTATAGAAAAAATAAGATAAGGTTTTGTCCAATTTGTGCCCTATCCACTTCATCTGTGCAAATGTTATTTTACATTGTATTTTCTAAAATTGTCACATATTTTAAAATTGTATTATCTATGTTTCATTTGATACAACATCACAAAATATACTTTTATTTTACAGCTTATTCTTTCAACATGGGAAGGCAGCTACAACTTACAATGCCAGAACTTAGACAGTGCGGGGGAAGCAGATGTGCGGGTAAGACATGGCCAGGGCATAGCAAGATGAGAAGACTACTGGCTGCAATAGATAGACTCAATACAAGTTTACCTAATAGTATAAAAACATTCACCAATCAGCCATAACTTTATGACCACTGACAGGTAAAGTGAATAACAGATTATTTTGTTACAATGTCATCTGAAAATTGGTAGGATATAAAAAAGTAAACATGTGGTAGCTGAAGTGGAAGTGAAGAAAGCAGAAAAAAAATGGGCATCACAATTTGTGTATGGGGTTGTGTAGCCGCAGACCATTCAGGTTGTCTATGCTGAACCATATCCATAGTCAGAAGCACCAACAATGGGCATAGGAGAACTGGACCATGAAGTAATGGAAGAAGGTGGCCCCGTCCAATTAATTACATTTTCTTTTACATCAAGTGGATGGCCGGATGTGTGTGGGCTGCTACGCCAGGCACTGTAGACCTGGTCACTTGCCCTGCACATGGAGCACCTTTACTTGTGACATGCTCATCAATGCCCTGAGAAAAGGAGGAGGCCGTTTTTGAGGAAAAATTTACCTTAAGGCGGACCTCCTACTTAGAGATGGGCGTACACCTGAACAAATAAATAGGACTTGGGCCCAACCATTCGTGTGGATGGTACGTAACACATACCACTTACCTAGACATTGTTGCTGACCAAGTATACACCTTCATGTAAATGGTATTTCCTGATGGCCGTGGCCTCTTTCAGCAGGATAATGCACCCTGCCACACTGCAAAAAATGGTTCACAAATTGTTTGAGTAACACAAGTTTGAGATGTTGACTTGGTCTCTGATTCTCCACATTTTGATTCAATCAAACATCTGTGGTATGTGCTGGAAAAACAAGTCCAATCCATGGAGGCCCCACCTTGCAACTTACAGGATTTAAAGGATCTGCTAGTGTAGGCTTGGTGCCAGCTACCACAACATACCTTCATAGGTCTAGTGGCGTCCATGCCTCAATGGGTCATGGCTGGCAAAAGACAGGACCTACTTAATATTAGATGGGTGGTTAATGAGTTATGGCTGGTTGATGTATATTGTATAAAATAAGTACTTATCTGCTAAGTTTTGTTAGGAATCTTCCATGACAACAGTGAAGAAATGGTTTCCCCTAACTAAAATAGGAGAGAGAAAAAAAACAGACGTGAAACTTTCCAACAAATCATATCTTTTTTTTTTGGAATCAAAATTGGGAAAAAGAGGGGATAAAGTAGGAACGGTCCTGGAAGATTCCTGAAAAAGTAGTTATCAGGCAAGAGCTAACACTCATTTTCCTCAGTCATACTCCAGAACAGTTCTGGAGAGGAAAATAAATCTAACTATGGTGGGAATCCCTCTAGGAGAATTTTACCATTGAAGGCCTGATTATGGCTAAATAGGGGTTCTATTCTGGAATGTCTAAAAAGACCACAAACCATGCCAAAGACCTTAGACCAATGAACTAAAACACTGCACCTCCAAAACACCTGCATTGCAGCACAGTACAACGTACACTAACACACTGCCATGCATTTGTTGTGTGCTGCATCAGATTTTGGCCTTGCGTACACTGGACGTTTTTACAGCTGCTGTTTTGGGCACCAGGTTTTTTTCTTTCTACAGCCAGTAAACTCCCAGGCATGTTATCCTATGTGTCCATGCACACATACGCTTTTATTAGCAACTTTTGGCAGGGGCATTCTTAGGCTGGAAAAAAAACCCCAGAACTACTACATTTGAAGAGGAGTTTTTCAGCTGTAAAAATTAGCGTTTTTGAGCCTCAAGCTTTTGTGGGAGTATAGTTTTGCTAAAAAAAAACCTTAAAAATGCAAACGCTGAAAAACACCAAGGCAAAAATGCTTAAACATGCAACAAAACTCATCTTTTTATTGTGGCATTCTACAGCTAACGCTTATAACTTATAACATTCAGCGTGCATGAAGCCTTAATGTCAGATGTGGTGCGTTGGCAGCCCATTCAATTACATTGGCTACCTTAACACACATTGTGATATGAATGCCCTAATGCACCACAACTGACCAGATAGGTCTGATTGGGCCCTCCGTGTTTTTGGGAAGAGAAACATGTTTTAAACAGATGATTAGGTAGCCCTAAATAAACATACTTGAGTAATAGAAGTGTTCATTTCCACCAAAGGCTTTTTATTGTGCCATATATCATGATCACTTGTTCATCTTACATTACAGGTGGCCAAAGTGCTGTGGTGGTATTATTTTTCAAAAGCAATTGAATTTTATGGACACCATTTTCTTTGTTTTACGGAAAAAAAGAATAGCCAAATCACTTTCCTCCATGTTTATCACCATGCCACAATGTTCAATATATGGTGGTGTGTTCTCAACTGGATCCCATGTGGACAAAGTAAGTGTTAAGCTAAAACTACTGTAAATGGAGGATTTAAAGCAGATTTACAGTAACAAACTTTGTAATCAGTGATACTTCTGACCGGTTCAGGTACCACTTTTGGCTGTTATAGTAAATTCAGCAAACCAGTTTAGACTTTTAGCAAACAGTAAAATGATCTGTTCACAAGGGTAAAAACAAAACAAAAAAAAAAACTCAAAAGGGTAAAGAGTTGACTGGCACCTATACTAAAGTTCCGCTCTTATTCTCTCTGGGAAATTTACCCCCATCCCTGTGACAACCTCCTGCCATTAAAGCCACCAAACATGGGAATGTCAATGAATCAACCTGCACTGTTCTGCAGTACTGCTGATGGCAGAAGATGAGCCCAGGGACTTTGCCTATTTGAGTATATTTCATTTTTTAAGTGGTGTACATACTTCAGTAGGCCAGTTTGTTCTGTCCTTTTGCTTATGTTTGTTTGCATCTAGATCTCAGTGTCTACACACAAGCAGACATGCCGTAAAAGTGTCTTGACCGCACTGGAGTCCGAACTCTTTTTAAATATGGCAAACAGATAAGCATGTATTGGTTTCTCTAAGTGCTGTCGTTTTGTTCTTTGGTGAAACAGTAAATTATGTGCAAACCAGATCTGAGTAAGCATTTATTAAAAAAAAATGTACACCAGAGACTGACATAAAGCATACACATTAATGCAGCTTTGTAGTCCATTATTATACCCGAAATGTATTTTTAAGTGAAAGAAGTGTAAGTGGCATAAATTTAACTTGGTATCACCTTCTTGCAGTCCCTGTACAGCAGAGCTTAACCTAGGAAACAGAGACGTAGCCAAATAGCCAGTTATGTTGCAGTGCAAGGAGAATGCTGATAGGAGAAGAGAGCGGAGTGACAGAGAGCAGGGGCGGACTGACCAACTGGAAACGCAGCAGGCACTGCCCGAGGGCCCAGGGTCAGTAGGGGGGCCCTATGAGATGCCTCTGGTACCTTTTTCATAGGCTTTTTTGAGTTTGAGCAAGGACACAGGGGCCCCATGATCCCCAATTGCCCAGGGGCCCCATGAGATGTCAGTCCGCCCCTGACAGAGAGATGAGTTTATTAGCCTGTCGCTTTTCCTTTCTCTGTCCAGTCACAGGCTGGGAGTTAGGGAGGACAAGACCTAAAAGTATTAGAGAACTTTAGCAGAAAAAAAATAAGTCCTCCACAACCAGCCAGGAATTGTGTACTGTAGGAGAGCTATGTAAATCACAGGACTAAGGAAACATAAATCCCTTGACAGATAAAAGGAATTTTCCTATATTTCTAAGTACCCTATATTTCACATTTGCCAGGAGTTTAAAGGAGATTTAAAATGAGCAAGCACACGAGAGGGTATTAGTGAAAACACACAGGCACTGTAAAAGGCTTACGTCATTTAATGAAGTTGAGAAAGCTTGACCCAAGATGTTCCAGTTAATCCAATTATGACATGTGAATTACACAGATTCTGTGGCTAAAAAAAATCCAGCTCAAGTAAAATTTAAACAAATTCTTGACATTGCTGTAGAACTTGTAAATAATTGGGGTTCGTCACCCAACTCTGTTTCCCATAAATATAAAATATTAGAAGACGTTTAATACACATTCAGTTTAATAGAAAAGTATAATAGAGCAGAGAACCTTGCCAAGTGTCTCCTAACATTAACCACTGGCCTACCTGTCCTGATACAGTTTCCTAGTTGCTAGTGTGTTCTGTCTGATACTAGTCATAGATTTCCTGTAGACAGAGGGAGCGGACAAGAAAAGAGGGGAAACCAGTTATGTTTGCACCCAAAAAAAAACCAACACTGACTTCTAACCATGCATAGCATAAACTGAGATCTGAACTCCAGCACACCAAGTTCACTCTCCAATTACATATTCCAGCATAGAGATCAGCCACATCATATAGAAAACAATTTAAAACTATTTCCCCTTTCTAAACCAAAGACCTGTCAAGTCTCCAGGAAATTCAGGAGTCACGCAATATTTTTAATGGTCCTCTGGGAGCTTGACTTGACTCTTTCTTTGGTCTATTAGTGTTGTGTGGACTCAGCACATGTTCAGTACGCCAAGACCACTCAGCAACACTGCAGAGCAGAGTCTTCCTAGATGATCCACAATGCTGATAGGCAGAGCAAACAAAATATTGCCATTAACCAACATGGATGTCTCGCTTTAGCTGTACGTCCCACGCCCATCCAATACGAACTGTGACTCCTTTGTGCAGAGTAGGAAGCAGGCTGTCGGTTGAATATTGATCTAGAGGAGCAGAGACTGGTCTGATGGTGGCTGTCATCCATTACATGCGATGGGCTGCTCACCACTGTCCATCAGTGCCAGGCAAAGCTAAATCACAGAACAGGACAGCCTACTACTCTACACTGTCCTGTTACATTCCAGCCTGCCTCTGTATCTAAAAGGTTCATTGTATTGTATAAATATAGATATATACATACAAAGTGAGATATGGTGCAGTCACTGATAGTGCTAGCCTTGTATGCAATAAAGAAAAGTGTTTACAGTCCAACTCCAGGCAGAATGGTTTGAACCTCTTGAGTGTTTACTTTTTCCACCAGTGAACTAGACAGAAAGTTAGGGGAAAAAAATCTCCTCAATAGAAAAGAAACAGGGGAAAAAAAAATGGGTAAATCTCCTACATGAGGGCACACTTAAAAAATATAGATCATTTACGGAAAAGTAAAGGATATGTCCTTCTTAGTAACATGTTACACCCATATTTAGGATGTAACATGGAACATGTTAACTGAGCAGCCCCGCCTCCCTTCCCCGAATCCCCATCATGACAGCAGGCCAAGGATCATCCCCCTGCACCCATTGTCACAATTTTTTTTAAAAAGTGACCGTGCAGGGCCCGGGGCTCCACCCACCCATCTGCATCATTCATTCATAGCATTCTGTGAATGGGAGAACTACAAATACAGTCAGCCATTGTGGCTGTCTGCTTGTAGTTCTCAATGAACTACCAGGGCTCTGATGAGCTCTCTAGGTAGTTCATTTATGCTTCCGGTCATCCAGTAACTATCTGCCTGTACAAGGTATGGGCAGCAGCTACACTGACATTCTGCAGGTGCCTGCAATGGCAACCTTGATCTGCTAATTGCGGATTGAATGCTTTACAGGCTCCTAATAAAAAAACAAATAAAAATTAGCATTTATCTGAACTTATCCTTTAAGCATGCAGGCAGGGTGAGCTTCTGTACTTTGATTACAGCTGACCCTGGAATTTTGGAGTCTTTTCTTATATCTGCTTGTCATTATTTGGTCCACATTTTAATCTGTTGGATTGTTTCATCTGTTATTTATTCTGTGTGTAAATCACTATTTTCTGGTAAATGCTAAGATGTAAAGACTCCTATGTGATATGTTAGGTCTCTCTCATTGCCTGTATGCTTGATAAAAAATAAAGAATTAAAAAAATATATATACATAGATATGAGATCATCTGGAAAACTCAGTCTCTGGGGGGCTCAACCAAATCTCCCATGGTCTCTTGTGATGCTTGGAGGGTTAGCACATGGTATTCGGACATTTTTTCCCGTATAGCAAACGTCAAGGCATGGAAGGATGAAGCAGAGACTCTGATATATGAGAAAAATCTTTTTGAGGATTGGAAGAGTACTGTGAAAAGTGTTTATGTTTTGTTTCATTTACATTAAATATCACACCTTTTGTTTTGCTTAGCCACACCCACTTTGTACCATGACACACTATATATACATGAATACTGTATCAATCTAGTAAACTTCGGGAAAACCATTCCTGTCCTACAGAACTGCACAACGTAGGTGGTGTTTGGAATTGTGCTACTTCTGAGGCACAGAAAAATCATATATTCCAGCAACAAAACCTATACTTCCAGTCATGTCTCTCTTTGTAGCACCATGTGTTGAGGATTATGGTTGGCCAAGCAGCACATCCTGAATCCACTTTCCTTCTACCATTGGGCAGGCTAGGACAGTGGTTTTGTATTTGTTACTGTGCCTAGGGATTATGCATGCTCCTCTGTTATACACAGTACTTCATTCTTTTCTACACTATGCAGTACTTCACATGGGGGGAATTCAGTAAATCTCTATCAACATGATTTTGGATCTGTACTATTCAGAAAAGGCAAGAAAACACAAGAGTCCCCTCTTCCACTACCACACAGTCTCGTGTGGTGGCCCTGGCGTAGCAGACATCATAGAGCAAAGAAACATCCAATGCCCGCACCTCCAATAAAATCACCTTTCTTAAAAATGTCTTCCTATAAAACACCTCCACAGATCATATCAGGGAACACAGTACTCCAGCTTACGCGTTTCACACTCCATCAGTGCTTAGTCATAGCTTGGAATGCTTAAAAGCGCTGTTGGAGAGTGAAACACGTTAACTGGAGTATGGTGTTCCCCGATATGATCTGTTGAAGAAATTTTCAATAAAAGGTGATTTTATTGGATGTGTGGCCATTGGATGTTTCTTTGCCCTATGATTTTGGATCTATAGCTCTTAAAATGGTATGTGCTTGATTCCTGCTGTCTGTTTTGGTAACTTTACTGACAGGTGCAGCAGATTCAGTACTATAACAACCAATGATGGCATGTGTGCCTCACCTCCATTATCGTAGGAGGATGGAAGTGTCCAGACCTGCAGCCTGCTCTGTCTTTTGGCTCCTGCCTGTCACTAAAAGGGACACCTGATACAAGAGAGCACTGTGATGGGGACACCTAATGTAAGGGAGTACTTGGACCTCTGCTGGAATAACATTTTACTTACAGGACCCCCTTGAAGAGTAATGCAGTAACCCTGCTTTACAACAGTTCCAGCTTAGACAGACCATGCAACTTTTAAGGATATTCCAAGGAACCTTTATTCATTGTCAATCCATATGTTATATGTATTCTAGTGAAGAGCTAAGCAGTGTTCAGTAAGCCATAGAACACAGGCAGAATAAGCCCTTCATGAGCCTGGCATCACTGCTTAAATTGGATTCCTTTAATCAGAAGCGGTTTGATACTGCACAATATTTTTTTTTCGCAGTGTGCTAATAAATAGTGCTTTTAGTGAGTTTTAGATAGATAGTAACCTAATATATACCAATAATTCGAACACCATTTTATTTAAACTTTTCAATTAATTGCATCTCAATCAAATGCATTACTTCAGTAAAATACTGTTTTAGATTGTTAATTCCTTTTTAGTGTTTGCAATAATATATCTCTGTTTTGTTGAAATGCTAATATAGGTTTCTTTGGACCTACCCTGAACAGTTTCATCCATGTTCTTATGTACTCCTACTATGGCCTGTCAGTTATTCCATCCATGCACAAATACCTCTGGTGGAAGAAGTATCTTACTCAGGCCCAACTGGTAGGTAATATCCATCCACTAAAAACAAATTAGAATACTACCAAAGTAGTTTTTGTTTATTTCAGGTACTTATATAGCACCGTCAATGTACGCAGCACTAGTGTGTGTGTGTTGCACATTCACATCCATTCCTAACCCTCAAGGGGCGTACAATCTAAGGTCCCTAACTTACATCCATACACATACTAGGGCGAATACAGCAACCCATCAAGCAAGTGTATCTCTATGTATTCTACATAGTCATGTTGTTGAAAATTAAACTAAAATGGATTTGGAAAGGTACCACATTATAACACAATTAAAAAATACAAGTTTAAACAACATTTCATAACACAATAAAAACAGTAGGTACAGATAAAATCATGAACAACCTGCCAATACAGGAATGTTCAAAAATTCCTCCCACAAAAATACAATAATTGCCCAAGGGTATACCACCCCAGCTAGTTACAACATATGGATATGGTATATATTTATTACAGGTACTGATATAGCACCATCAATTTACTTAGCACTTTACATATGTATTATGTGCATCGAAAATTAAATATTATGTATATAGATACATAAAAAAACTACTTTTACCTTGTCAACATATAAAAGTGATATATATTACAGTACAACCACAACAATGAATATTAAATGATTCCCCCAACCTGGGGGAAACAAAGATCCTCCATAGTGTGAATCAGAGCTGGAGGATGACCACTAAAGAATCTTTAGTGGTCATCCTCCAGCTCTGATTCACACTATGGAGGATCTTTGTTTCTGCTATGATCCTTTGTGGGCAAACGACTGTGTAAAAGTACCAGGGGATTGGAGAACTCAGGAGGATTATAAATCTGCGGGAGTATCCAGGAGGGTCCTTTTGGTGGTGACGAGGTTATTCCTGGGAAAGCGTGGTTTATCCATAAAGCGAGCTGGCCCTTGTGATCAATGTAAGGAGGTGAGGGGGCACTTTGGCCATTTTTGGATTCACGAGTTGTTTGGCACTGGATTCACCTCACGTTGTGCTGAAATTATTTACATGCGAGTTATTTTTGTGGAGCACTATTCAGTATTATTTGTGCACTGTGTGGACTTTCATTCAGAGTGGACATATATGATTTATCACAGAGTGTGTTTTTTTGTACACTTGCATTCCCAATTAGGGTTCACATTGTTCACATTCATTTGATCCCCCAGGTTGGAGGAATAAAGGAATAATTTAATATTCATCGTTGTGGTTGCACTGTAATATATATAAATTTTATATGTTGATACGGTATAAGTAATTTTTTATGTATCTATTTATTTACATTCTATTTAATTTTTGATGCACATGGTAGTATTTATTTAGCACTACACAATTTTTTAATCTTTATTTTCAGTGTGTGGTTGAAGGAAGATGTTAGCAGCTTAGGGTAGGAATTATTCATTTAAGCACAGGAGATTGTTCTCTATATTTTTTTGTTTACATATGTATTATACATTCACATCAGACAATGCACTTAAGGAGCTTACAATCTAAAGTCCCTAACTCACATTCATACATACACATACCAGGGCCAATTTCGATAGGAGCCAATTAACCTACTAGCATGTCTTTGTAGTGTGGGAGGAAAACTGAATACCCAGAGGAAAACCCATGCATGAACAGGGAGAACATGCAAACTCCACACAGGTAGTGTCATTGTAATGTGATCTACTTTGCCCAGGCGACGCTGTGTGAGAATCGCACGAGCCATCGATGCAGGCTGACATACAGGAATGTTAGCCCGCATCAGCGCTGCTTCCCATCTGCCCATTGTACATAGACAGCGGACTGTGATTAACCACATTTTTTTGGAAAGTGGAGTTGACCTTCACTTGCCCCACCCAGGTCTTATTACTGCCAGACCTGTTGAATCAAGAAACCACTTACATATAAGCTGTCTGACAAAGTGAAGCACGCTAAAAAGATTTACAAAAAAAAAAAAAAAAAGCAACACATCATGCTGCAATTTAAAGACATTCAAGAACAGATGGGAAACAAAGTAATTTACATGTATCAGACTGGAAAGAAACTCCAGCGAACCCCAGTGAGACCCATTATCCACAAATGGAGAAAAGTTGAAACAGTGGTGAACCTTCCCAGGAGTGCCTACCAAAATTACCAAATACAAAGAGCGCAATCATGACTCATTCAGGAGAGCATAAAAAGAACCCAGAACAACATCTAAAGAACTGCAGGCTTCACTTGCCTAAGTTAGGGTCAGTGTTCATGATTCAACAATAAGAAGACTGGGCAAAAATGGCATCCATGGGAGAGTTCCAAAGTGAAAGCCACTGCTGGCCAAAATACACAGTCTCATCTCACATTTTCCAAAAACATCTTGATTATCCCCAAGACTTTGGGGAAAATTTTCTGTGGACTGATGAGACAAATGTTGAACAAACGTGGTGGTAGTGTAATAGTCTGGGGTTGCTTTGCAGCTTCAGAACCTGGACGACTTCTTATAATTGATGGAACAATGAATTCTACATTCTACCAGAAAATCCTTAAGGAGAATGTCCAGCTATCAGTTCGTGACCTCAAGCTTCAGGGTCCTTTGGTTGTGCAGCAGAACAATGATTCGAAATACACAAGCTAGTCCACCTCTTAATGGCTCAAAAAAAAAAAAATTAAGGTTTTGGAGGGGCCTAGTCAAAGTCCTGACTTAAATCCAATTGAGATGTTGTTGCATGACCTTAAACAGGCTGTTCATGCTTGAAAGCCCTCCAATGTGGCTGAAATGAAACAATTCTGCAAAGAAAAATGGGCCAAAATTGTTAAACAGCGATGTGAAAGACTCATTGGCATTCATCAAAAAATGCTTGATTGCAGTTGGTGCAGCCAAGGGTGGCAAAACCAGTTATTAGGTTTAGAACAATTAATTTTTCACATAGGGCTAGGCAGGTTTGTATAGCTTTTTTTTTTCCTTAATAAATGAAATCTTTTAAAAACTGCATTTAGTGATTACTTGTGTTATATTTTGGTAACATATAAATTTGTTTGATCTGAATCATTTTAGTGTGACAAAATATGCCCCCCAAAACAAAAATCAGGAAGGGGGCAAGTACTTTTTCTCCAGCCATAAATGCCAGTTTTAAATGTCAGTTATTCACCACCAGTGAGTCTTTGGTAAACATTTTATAAATGTACCGCTTACTACAATGAATGAATAACAGAGTGATATAGAGCAATGTACCTATGATGCTATATTTTTTTTTTTTTTTTTTTTCCCCCAGATTCAGTTCCTGCTCACCATTTCTCACACGCTCAGTGCGGTGGTTAAACCCTGTGGGTTTCCTTTTGGATGTCTAATATTCCAGTCATCCTATATGACTACATTGGTCATATTATTTGTAAACTTTTATCTGAAGGTAAGTCAACTACTGCATGCTTTCAGGGAAAAATTGTTCAACTTGTGGTGAACTTGGGATTTATCAAGTGTGCACATTACCTGTCTAGAGGAAAAAAAACAATACAATAGATACCAAAACAGGTCATCATAGATACACTTGATCCAAATCAAAAAGTCAAGACTAAATTTCAACTCTTTAGAAATGCCCCCCTCTTTAGAATTAACCCCTTCATGACTGAGGGTTAAACAAATCCTATAGCCTGAACACAATTTTGCAACTTTGAAGTGTTAGTAAAAACTGTACCAAGGACAAATTGAGTTGAATTTTCCTTTAATATTAATATAAAAAAATCAGGAGATATCCATTACCATTTACCACCAAAGGAAAAGTGGCCCAAAAGAAAAAAAAAGTTTTTTGTTTTTTTTTTTACTAAGTGTGGCTGTCTGTTTCCTGCTATTACCATAATTTTCCATCAAAGAACCACCCAAAATAAAAATGTTTCTGTTCCTGGACGGTCGCAGTGATACCACATATGTGCATGTGATTTGTTGTTTGTACCTGTAGTAAAACCCAGAAACAATAGAGCACCATTTTGCTTTTTTATCCTACATAAAACAAACATACAGACACCAAAATAAAAAAAATGCTTTTTAAAAAAAAATCCTACCTAAAATATACTGACCCTGACCTCTGACCTTAACACTACAACCCTGACATTGACCTAGATCAAACCTTGACCTAGCAATTTTCCTTATTTTTTTTATTTCCATTCTGTTTTGTTTTTTTTACACACTTTTGTTTGTTTACATTTTTCTCCCATTGCCAATGGCAGAAAGATACAATGTATCTTTCTCTCCATTCAGAGGTAGGAGAAAAAAAAAACAAAAAACAAAAAAAAACACATGGGCAGATATCACTGCAATCAGGTGACCGGAAACCAGGAGTTCAAATTCCCAATCGTTCGGATTAGACCCAAGGCTTTTGGTGAGAGCCCAGACTCTGTGCTGGGAGAGAGCACTATGCAGCATGCTCCCAGCACAATCACAGGTATGCATATATTCCGCCACACAGTAGACCCATTTCAGTGAGGCCACATCTATGTGTACAGGATGCCAGAAGGGGCTACCTTTGCAGAAGCAAAACAAACACCCCTGTATGAAAGTCCTTGGATAAAAATAGGATTTCGCTGGATACTTGTCAAGGCTGTGAACATGAGATTTCTCAGACCTTGAAATCAGTTAAAAGTAACCAACAGTTATTTTCCCATGGGACAGAAGTATTTGACTTTTAACTATATCATAGCAGAAACAGGTGCTGTTAGTACAAAGAAATAACTGGATACTTTCCCTGCCTCTACCAAGGCTAAGCTAAAAAAACAAAAGAATGTGTGAGCACAGTTCTGTAACACACAACTGACAGACAATATTTTCATAAACTCATTCTGAGTATAATATAAAAATCAACATGGAGTACAAAATATAAAAATGGAGGGGGAAAACAAAATGACAGACAAAAAAGACATACATTTCCCTTCAGGGCCCATTCACATTATTGTGGTGTGTTGTTTTAATGTGCTATGCCACACGTGTTAAGTCAGCCTATTCATTTGAATATGCTGCCAAATTGACAAAAAAAAAAAAAGGAAAAAAAAAAAAAAAAAAAAGGGTACATGTACCATTTTCTGGCAGTACACCCTCAATTCAACATAAAAATCCTTACCATATTAAAAATATACTCTGCAGATTGTGAACAGTAAGTATTACCACCAATGCATTTTGAGCTTGTGCTTTTTACAAAATTCATCAGTCTTGCCTCCATCTACTATACTCTGTAACACAACCACAATGGAGAGAAGAGGGGAGACTAATGGAAAGAATAAGGGCACTTCTGTCTACCTGCCTGGGAAAGTTTTGCAAGTGGGAAACATTGGCAAAAAGTAAAATTACTAATTGCAGATTGAATTATATAAAGAAAATGATAACAAGTATTACAGGCTTCCTTTTTTTATTCTATTTTAGACATACAAGAAGTCAACAAAATCTGATTCTAATAGAACAGCAGCCAGCTTAGATCTGAAGAACGGATATCACAAGGACTTAATGAATGCAAGCAATGGTTTTGTGCACAAGAAACACAACTAGTATACGAAGACTATGAAATTGAAGATAAAGCCCGTTTACATTTTTATTTAAACAGGCTGATAGGCTTCCTCTTAACTAACTGACCAAATTCAATTTATGTTCAAAGATTTTTTTCATAATCGATACCCCGAATTATTTTGATATGTAGGATATGATGGTAAGGCACCAGGTGCTTTATTTTCTCTAAATGTCAGCATACCAATAATCAAGATGAAAAGTATTTCGAATTGTAGTCCAGAAAATGCCTTATAACAGCCCACTGACATTCTTTTACATGTTTTAACAATTTTTAATTTAATGTAGGACTTTGTATGCACTAAAATTTAAATTGCGAAAACAAAGACTTCTTGCTTATTACTTTTAAGCTAATCATGTTTTTTTTTTTTTATGAACTGTGCAGAAAAGTTTTAAGTATACAGCAGTATACGCAGAGATTAGATAAGTGGTTCTCAATCCATGGTTTGTGAAAGCATGGAGTTTGACATTTAAGTTTAACAGGGGTTGGACACAATTATGGAAACACCAGGCAAAAAGAACAAAATCGTTACCCAATGTGGTGATGGACCACATTCTGGCTCCAGAAAGTTTTTCCACAGGATCAATTAGAAAGGGGTCTTCCCTGGAAGATGAGAGATTGCTGTCTAAGGGATCTAATGCAATCTACCACAGTTTAACAGACTAAAGTCACTACCAATGTAGGGCAGAACCTGGCAAATGAAAATGGGATGTAAGGAGAGATTCCAACTGTCACCAGTAAAGTCCCAAAAAGTAAGCATATCTTCTATATGTCTAGTAGTGTTCCTGGTAAGTAGGCCACTGGGAGATCCTCAGTACGTGTATATATATGTACGCCTGAAGGTCACATTCCAGATTAGTTCCACCTGTCTACAGTAGTCAAATGTGGAGTGGATGTCACACTCCAGAGGTGAGCTTAGAAAAAGGCCAATCCAGATAGCTGCAATGTCGAGATCAGTTCAAGCAGCAATGTAGAGAGGAATGACTGCAGCT